CTCTCTCTCTCTCTCTCTCTCTCTCTCTCTCTCTCTCTCTCTCTCTCTCTCTCTCCCCCTCTTGTTCTTCCTCACTCCGACTGGCTGTCAGAGTTGTAGTGCTGGATGTCTCCTCGCTCCTTCTCGTCAAAGCCTGGCAAAGGCTGTCCGTATTTATCCACGCACCAGCAGAAGCCTCGCTTCCGGCCCTTGGATGGACGGCACTGGAAGAACAGGAAGGGCACAAGTTGAAGACACGTGCAGGAGATAGATCAAGCGAACGCGCCGCGTTTTCAGCAACAACACACTTTTGTCAATGAAGTCGACCCACGCAGTTAAAAGGCATCAATGGCTAGATTGTGCCGAGTTGACGAAGTCTCGGCCATCTGACACTGTGGTATTTTTGAGCTGCTTTTTACGGTCTACCTCCTGTTACAGACACATATAGGGAGCTTAAAGGTAAACAGAAACCTGGTAAAATATTTACTTAGTCCCATTTGTGAACAACTGTGAACCAAGATCTATTTTCAGGAGCTGGTGGCCAGAACGAATCATCTGTTGCTGATTATACCCCACAGCTCCAAATTATGGGTACTACAAATGACTTACAGAGTCTGTGGAGCTACCCAAGGGCTGTTATTTTACTGCCAATTTTACTAAAGGTCAACCTCCACTTCAGTAAAACATGCAGCCATTCATTTTAAGCGCTAAGGCACCGCCACTCCGCAGAGGGGTTAGGGCTGATCAGGAGGAAGGACATCCCTATTTAGCTCAATATTTCAGACAGGAGGTAACTGGGAGGCTGATGGAAGCTGGTATTATTTTTGAGATCACATAAAAAGCGTGCACATTGAATAAATACTTGATTAAAGCTGCACAACTAGATACAMAGGTTTTAAAAACTTAAATATTTCAAATCCTGATCATAATATATAAACAGAATATGCTCATTTTAAAAAATAAAGTGTTAAGAGAAGCTGCGGTGGATACTGTTTTTAATCAAATTCACTCATATGTCAAAAACGAAATATCTGGCAGTCATTTGGTGCCTGCAGCTAGACGTGATATATGAGTCGGTGTGCTGCAGTGCTGCTAATAAGATGATTGCAGGTCCAACAGGAGTGTTTGATATGCAATAAGATAAACAGGCTCGGTGATTCAGGGAGCCCCGAGCGCTCCCATGCGAACGCGTCAGAACCACTCATTCATTACAACCCGATCGTGGGTGAACCATGTTGAGGTGGGGATGGCTGCAGCGCTCTATTTCTGTGTCTGCCTCTCAGAACGTCCAGCAATTATGGGGCGAGCTCATGGGGTGCCAGTGGCCACCTTGACGTCTGTCTCCCTGGGAGGGGAGGCAAAAAAAAAAAAAGGGCGGCCGTCGTCCCAGCCTTCAGCGCTGCTGGGGTTTGGCCCCTGTGGTTCCTGTTTCCAGAGGCAGTGGCTAAGGTCGGCCTCACTGGTGCGGTGCAGTGACAAAGCTTTAATAACTACTGATGAATACAAGAGGCAGCAACAAAGCTGCTGGAGCCCTAATGTTTTCAGCCACTGACTTGAGCCTTTAGCTTGTAAAAAAAAAACTTTAAAAAGTAATATTTATTAACTAATGACGCAATAAATAATCTTTTATTGTACCTGTTTTTTCTTATAGAAGCCCTTCTTGTCACAGTTTGGTATACGGAAACCTCTGGGGTTGAGGATGTTGGTAATTTTCAGGTTGCTGAGAATGCTCTCAATCTCTCTTCGGCAGGGTCCCTAGAAACAGAGGAAACAGTTTTGTTTCACATTTGCATGTCTGAACTTTGAGAAATATACAGTTGCAAGTCATGCTGCTGGTTTCATTGAGTCTAATTTTGACATTAACGCGAACAAGCTAAAGCTGACTCACGCTGCAGAACACACTGCCCTGCTGTAATACCTTAATAATGATGGTGGCGGTATAAAAGAGGTGGCGTATCAGGAATCAATTCATCTAACTTTCAGAGGCTTAACTGTTTGCAAAGCTGCTTAGAACTTTCAACACAAAGGATGGGGAACAAATTGAATTCAAACGGCTCAAAGATGGGAGCCAAAAGGCTTGTCCCCAAGTCCAAGTGCTCCAGTCACTAATCACAGTAGCCAGTCGAAGCCCATTACTAGAGTGTGCTCACTTCTCAGGCCAAAGGAAGATCAAAATAGCAGCAGTGCTTCCCAACAGGCACTCACATCAGCCAATCCATCATCCGCTGGCTCTCAGTGCGCCCGGCACGCGGACGCCTTGTGGCCAAACAACCGCCTGACCCAGGTCAGCCGCAGGGCCGTGGTACATGCTCGCTGCCATGTCACTCTACTGCACCAGGTCCCTGCCAACCGCCGCCACCGCTATCCAAAACATTTCATCACCCGCAAAGGGGGAGGGAGGCAAAACACCAAAACACAGAGAAGAGGAGAAAAACATTCCTATCGTGTGTTTGGATGACAAAAAAAAAAAAAAAAAAAAACGAAATGTTTGTGGTACTCACATATTCGGGCTTCTGTTTGGTTTCGAGAGCGAAGTTTTGCTGGTCTGTGATGAGTGGTCCGGCGGGGAGATCCTCCATTTTAAAGCTCTGGGTTTTCTTCTGAGGTTCCTGTCTGAGGACATCTGACTTTGCGGAGGAGAAGGACGGGGGGTGCGGAGGTCTAAAGGGTCCAGCATGACTGTTGTAGGACGTTTGAAGACTTGAGTCGGTGGAATTCTGCTCCCTGTCCTGAGTCTCTGTGTGCTCTGCTGAAAGTTTTAGAACAGTCCACAAACAGCAAACACAAGGATTTTCACAATTTAGGACATATTCTCACATTTCTTTAGATAAGATATGAAATATTATCACACTTTAGGAAACAGACGTGTAATATTACAAGCTAAAAGTCAAACAAATTAAGAAGAAAAGTAAGTTAATTTGTGTTTGTTAGATTATTCCTTTGTTGTAACAAAACGTCTTGGCAACAAATCTTATTCTGATTGGCAGCAGCTGTGCTCAAAACAAGAGTCAACAGCAAAATAAGCTGTTTGGAAATGGCAGAGAAGATTAGGTCATTTTTCATATGTGCAACTCAGCTCTTCTGTTCATCCAACAAATGCATGTTCCTTGCAAATGTGGCACCATTTAAAGGAAAAATGAACAGGCTTTCTAACGGTAGCTACAAGATTTATTCCCAATAAGCACTACAAACAAATAATCTACCAAACATGAATCTCCTTACTTTTTGTGCTTGCTTAGCATACTTAATGTGATTCATGACTGAATGTGAAAACTACGTTTAAAGATCCAGTTGTCACATTATTACTATAGCACATTGAATGAGTAAGCTATTTGGTTTTCAGATGCATTAGGTTATAAACCAGTTTCCAGTTTCTCCACTGTTATAAAGCATCTAAAACAACATGCACGGTTTGTAAAACATAAATTCTGGTGTTTAAGTAATCTGATGATGGAATATGTCCACACTACAACCATACCTGGCAACTCATTGACCGGAGGCGTAGGTCTGATTGCGGGTCTCCTGTTCGTGGTGTTCAGGCAGATGCCCCGTCCCTCAATCAGAGCCTGCAGCGGCTTGGTTTCACCTGGCTGGGGCTGGCAGGTGAGTCCGGAGCCGCATCTTCCGGTGTACACTCCGCACGGCTGGCCGAAGCTGAGCGCGCAGGTCAGGCAGCAGCCGCAGCCGGGCTCGCGGACCCTCTCGGCGCAGTCCCGGGGCAGAGGCTTGCACAGGAGCCGCGCTGCCGCGTCGCACGGCTCGCATCTGACAACCGCTCCGACCGCACCTGACCCGCGGCCGAGCGAGCGCGACGCCACGCACAGGAGAGCCGYGCACAGTGCGACAACACGAGAACCCATCACGGTCAGAGAGGCGACAGGAGAGGAGGCACGCGACGAGGAGGAGCTGCGGGGACTCTCCGCTGGTCAGCTTCTCATTCACATAAAGCCCACGGACAAAACATCTCAATATATAGACCCCATTGACTGAAGTCACACCCCCGAATGGCTCGCGCCGCGCTGATGAATTACTTTAACTCTCCTAATTCTGTATAAATTGGGTTGCAGTTGGATCATAGAAAGCATTTGGGGCTGCATTGTTAAAACTTTTTTCAGAGAAAACGATTATTTGGTTTTCTTTTAGTTTTGATGTGCATAATTAACCGAAATATTAAATTACACATAAATACTTAAATATATTTATAAATAGCTACTTGATGTATTTATGTCTGTTTCAGAGATTTAGTGTTTTATCTAATTTTTATGCTGCAAGCTGTAAATTAAAGTAAAGTAAAGTAAAGTAAAGTAAAGTAAAGTAAAGTAAAGTAAAGTAAAGTAAAGTAAAGTAAAGTAAAGTAAAGTAAAGTAAAGTAAAGTAAAGTTAAGTAAAGTAAAGTAAAGTACCTGAACTACCAGTTCAGGTAATAAATTGCTATATGGCATTTTATTTTGTGAAGTTTTTGCAAAGTTGTGCAAGTTTCTACAACCTTAAATCCATAATTACACTATGACATCAGAGTTATTAGATTCATGATAAAATTGGGTTCCAACTTTCACCTTCAGAAACTAGTTGCAAGTTTAAGTGTTAATTTTTATTTACCTTTTTTCTGGCAACTGAATATGGCGCCCCCYGCAGGACATTTGAAAGCATGCATACTTAATGTGCTACGATATTGGCCTTATTTTTCCAACACAGAAGCTTGATGTTTTCATAGTCTGTGGTCTAAACCAGTGGATTGCAAAGTTGAGGTTTGGGATCCAGCGGTTGGTCTTAAAACACTAAAGAAGAGGTCTTGAGAGGATCTGTGGAAATCGTCTTAAACTGAAAACCATTGCTGTTTGCCGATTTTAGCCACACAAGGGATAAAAAACATTCATTGTATCCAAATAACCCATTAGTTGTTGAGGCTACAGTTTTACTGAGTTATTAGGAATGATTGAACATTTGGATCAGAGACAGTTGGGTTTGTCTGCCCCTATTTGGTAACTGGATTTTTCATAAATTATAGAACAGAAACACATCTTTAAAGTTCAGCAGTGACAAAAACATGAATGTTAAGCCCAGAAACTAACTTTTAAAATAACAAAACATCCATCTCTCTACAGCTTATTTTTTGAGCCAAGAAGGCAACAAGTCCAGGGGAAAAACTGGACTGTTCTACTCCTTCTGGGGAACCCCAAGGTCTTACCAGGCCAGAGATAATACACAATCCCTCCAGCGAATTCTGGGTCTTCCCTGGGGTCTCTTACCAGAGGGACATGCCTGGAAAACTCCCAAAGGGAGACATACAAGCAACCTAATACAGATCCCTGAACTAACTCAACTCATTTATTTTGATGCAAAAGAGCAGTGGAGTCCTTGCACTATCTCTTAGGTTGAGCCTATACCTACAAAGGAAGCTCATTTGGCTGATTGGATCTAGTTTTTTGGCTGTGATCCAGACCTCATGACCTAGGTGAGGGTTGGMCCATAGGCAAAGTAAGAGCTGTAGCTTGACTAAGCTCTTTCTTCGAAGCAGCCCCCTTTAGCAATGAGGACGAGACCCCAATCCATGGATCCATTCGCAGTCCTTCACTCGTGAACAAGACACCCAGACATTTAAACTCCTACACCTGAGGCAATAACTTTCCCCTTGACCCGTAGGTCTGACATTTCTTTACGAACATTAAAAACAAAGGCTATTCAGTTATGAAAATTATACCCTTTCAAAAGAAATAAAACATATTAAGAAGAAATAGTTTCCCTGCATTCAAATTTAAAATGAACTGATGCAAACTGGAAAAAATGTGATTAAATTAATACTCTGCTTTGAAGCCACCGAGTTAAAAAAAACAACAGAAAACGTCAGGAGTTATGTGTTAATTTACATTGCATCAAACTGGATGCTTGTGCTGCTTTATTGAAACGTTTCGTGGAAAGTATTTTTTATTTCAGCAAGACAATCCCAAACTCCTTGTGTAGTTTTGCCACGCACATGTCTGCCACTGAACTTGTTAAGATGTGTCGCAGTTGGAGCAGTCCTGCTCTATTGTCAGCACACGATGTCTCAAAGGCTTTCACAGAAAAAAAAAAAAAACAGCACCAACGCTTAAGTGTAAAGTCACTTTGTTCTTTTGAGATTTCTGTGAAGTCGATGTCCARTCTGCTGCCAGCGAGCCCTGGCGTGCTGCCATCTGCTAACAGACAGGTCTACAGCAGAGCAGTGCCTGTGGAATGCCAAACATTTGTTTCATATGTTGGAAAGAAAAAAAAAAAGGATCGCTCATTTTACTCCCTTTCCTGCATTCTTCGCTCTCAGGAAGGGGCTCTTTTTTTGCCACCTGTGCATATTCAGCATAGCATAGAGCAGAAATAATGTAGYGCAGGAATGTCGTCCCGCAGAGCAGCCACTCAATAAAAAGGGAGTGTGAAGAATGTGCTTTTGCACACACAGGATATTACTGTACATGTGTTTAACATAACCTCCTGTCAAAAGCTATACGAGGGCCAACAGCAACAGCTTGTCCAGTCTTAATCCCGTGCAATTTTCCACCGCTTTAAGATGATTTGGGCAAATCAGAAGCCCTGTGAGTGGGCTGCTTTGGCTCCAGGAGCCAGACTGTAGCTTATTGTTGAAATATTGTAAAGTGGCCTTTTGCTAAATATAAACCAGCTACTTAATGGCAGCGTCTGGAAGTGTTGCTCTCAATTTGAACTTAAATCTAGCAAAACTGTAGATTGTTTGGAGTTYCGTTATTACCCCTCACTGCCAAAAGGTACCTTAGAGCTTAGAAACACATAAACAACTACAATTCATTCATTTTTAAACATATTGTGCCAAAGTTTGGTATGGTAGTAGCTGAGAATCATTCACAACTCATTTCAAGATCTTTGTAACTTTTGAAGTCATTCTAATCCAAAATGGTWGCCTTAGTTGATCATAGCTAACATGAAACTGCCTATAACTCAGTCAGTTCTACAGATATCGRGCTAAAACTTGATGCAGTAGTAGGATGTCTTGTCTGTTTGAGCTGGTGATTATGCGGTACAGAGGTGTGTTGGGTTTAGAAAGGAATGAAGGCCACAGCAGACCACATGACAAAGTCTGGTACATTTCTTTTGGTACAGTTATCCTTTTCTCCCCCAACAGTCTCATGACCGTCTCTCGTATAATTGCTCCTGTCTGAGGGCTTTTGGAGCAGACTCTCATGTCAAACAAGTTGGAAGCAAAGGTCGCTATTACGATTAATATGATAATCTTTTCCCTTTGATTTTGCTCTGACTGGCAGCCATACAGGACTTCAACAATTTTCTGATTATTAGACGTGGAAACAATATAAAAAGCCACGAGGCCAGAGGCCACCTTTCATCTGAGGCCAGGGTTGCTTAATCATTTTTTTTTTTGGAGTGGTCTGGTTGTAGGACTGCCGCGGTCCCCATTTCTGGAGGCTTGGCCCCCGAGGCACTCCTAAGCTGTAATTAGGCCTGAGCACAGCAAAGGGATAGGAACTCCCAGTACTCAGCCTGATTGGGCTGAAAGTGGCGCCGCTCTCTTTGTGCCCCAAATCCTGCACACCCGCTTAACCGAATTATTACACTTCCCGTGTCTCATCTGARCCGTTTGGATTCTCACACATTCCCTCTGAGCTAAAGGGAACTCAAGGAGCATCACTCAGCAACAATAGTTTCTACGCAAATGAGGTTTCATTCAYCAGTTGTATTGCTCTTTGAGCTTTTGTGACCCACAGGAGTGGAAATAAACTTTTGCTCCAACCAGATATCCTTTTTCCCCCTCACATAAAATCACAAAAAGCTTTAACTTGTAAACAAAGAATTACAATTTATTGAGGAAAAAGTATGTTTGCTTTACGTTTTCATCAGTTATTAGAGACCGAGCTAGCTGCAGTTTGACACCCTCCCCTTTAAAATCCCCACCATCCAGTCAATAGGTCACACTTGTGTCCATGTTTTGCTTTGTCACTAACACAGAACGTGGAGTCCTGACAAGTCCCAAACTGTCACCTTGGTTTGTTTTGTTTTTTTTTATTCCGGGACTTGTTATGAAATGTCACAGTTTGTAGCACGGCATTTTCCATGTTGTCGGTCTGCGCCGAAACCAAACAGGGAACCTCTCACATTGTGCGGCTAACCCAGAGTGAACTTTCTATTTTCGTCCCCAGATCCCTTTGTCCTGCCTCAAATGAAAGAGATGAGCCCAAGCCCCTCTAATTAAGAGGTCGTAAAAAAAAAAAAGAAAATGCTGCATGGCCGGGCGCTGGAGGGATAAGAACGAATCCTGTCCGCCTGATAAAGGGGGGTCTGTAACCTTGGCATTAGCCGTAAAACGAGACTTGAAGAGGCTGGCGAAAAGCTGTGAAGTTAATTGTGAGGCTGCTGAGCCAAGCATACTGCATGTGACAGTCTCAATCAACGTCTTCTACGGRTCTTTGCCTCGGCCAGGTCCGTCATCACAATGGCAGTTATTATAACAGGATGTTGACAAGAAAACCTAATCCTGCATCATTTTAGTAGGTCAGCAAATAGATTAATGTACATTCCTTGACTTAATGTATGTCACCTGTCATCTTTCGGGCCAGTGTTTAGGACTAAAAGCATCTTGTGTTGAGAAATGATAGTTAGGAGCTGTTTTGCTCAAGTCATGACAATAACGTAAAGCTAGATCTCACATTTTAATAAATGATGACTCAGCTACTACCACAACAAATTTTAGCTGATTACGTGCAAAATTGCAGGAGATAAAGTTGCTAAAGTTTATTAGTTATTTTTGAATTGATTGACTCCAGAAGTTAATCAGTTGTAGATGTGCCTCCAATGATTATTTCACTAAAATCCATCAAGTGGCACATGAGATATTTTGTTCCTTTGGATTACCTCCAAACATTAATGTAGTCTTGTATAAAGCACCTCATTGTGATACTTGAGTAAAAGTACAAGTATCTTATCATAAAAATACTTTGGTAAAAGTTAAAGTCTTCTCTAAAARTATTACTTGAGTAAAAGTCTTAAAGTATYTGAAATTTTTTTGTACTTAAGTATCAAAAGTAAATTTCTGATACAAAATCTACTTAAGTATTAAAAGTAAAAGTACTGAGTAAAAGATGAGTAGCTAGATTTTACAAAATGATATTTATTGGGAGGTGACTTCCCAAAAAAATATTTTTTCTAACGGCGTGCAGCTGTGATGGGTTGTGTACACACTAATAGGGCGTCAGAATGGTTTATATTTATACTTCTCATCCAACCACAATTAAATTCACTCTATCCAGGAGACACAATTTATCAGGATAGTATTTTTTTAAGCAATAACAACTCTGAATAAAATAGGAGTAACAAATTTCTACTTCTTACCTTTTTAAAAAATGTAGTGAGGAGAAAATACAGATAATTATGTAAAAATGTAAAAAGTAAAAGTAAAAAGTACACTGAAAAATAATTACTCAAGTAAAGTACAGATAACCAAAATTTCTTCTTAAGTACAGTAACAAAGTATTTGTACTTAGTTACTTTACAACTYTTCATTAATGCTAAGGCTTAAATGTTAAGACTTTTTTCAAGTTTTGAGAAAGGTTTCTTGCAGCTCTCATAGGCTGACATTACTTTTACTTACTCGCACTGTTATTAGCTGTTTGAAATATTGTCTCTCCTGACAAGTTGTAATAATCGTATCTGGCTTTCTGGACTTTCCCCAGCATCTTTTATTTTAAGGCCACTTCACAGTAAATGACAGAGGAAAGACAGGCCCTGAGCTCTCTGCCGTCACCACACCTGGGCTGTTCGCATCCTTCCTGCCCTCCCCGGAAATTCTTCACTTTCACCACCTGCGGAGTAGCAATGGGAGGTGGGTGGGAGGGAAAGCAAACACCTCTCCCCACCCTGTTGCACCTTGGCTCTCTGCAATTTGTATAATTTCCTCTCAGCGTTATGAGAGCAGCCTGCACAGACTTGTGGAATCCCGACCTATGAGACAGAGCATGTCTGGATACGAGTGTGCCTTCATTAAAGGATGTGATGATCCACTTTAGTGTGTAAAAATTACAAGCCTTTTTTCTCACTCGTATATGTGACACTCCTACATCACTCCATTTTCAGTGATGGTTCAAAAGTCTCTCCATGCTGGTGTCCTCTGCTGGCTGTAAAATGAACTGAAGCAGTTCCTTTTTCTGCACAGTTGAAGTTATTAACTTAACTTATTAACTTATTAAATATTATTCCATATCATACATTTTGGTTGCAGTGGGG